CTCGCATCGCCCTGCGCAGACTCAAAGTAGACCTCGCCACCCCTGGGGGGGCCGCGACATGGGAAACGGTCGCCATGTCCGAGGGCCGCTGGGGCGGCCAGCACAGCGACGCCCCACGCAGCAAACTATACCTCGCCATCCCTTGCGGGTTGCGAAGCGTGAAACTGTCGCCATACTCGAAATATGCCCGGGGGAGGCAGCATAGAAACGTCCTGCGCGGATTCGCGTTCAACCTCGCCCTTCCTGAAGGCAGCGAAATGCAGAACTGTCGCCACGTTCAGAGGCTGCTGGGGGTCAGCATAATGACGTCCTACGCTGGGGCCTCGGGCCAGATTTTCCTTCCCGCTGGCCGCCTGACCCCCTATTGGCGGTCTCTTGTACACGCCGTGGCGCGCGCGCCTCCCATGTAGTTTCCGCGACAGGTGACGGCCCTCCACGTCGCCACGTAGATTTGGCCAACTGTTCTTTCCATGTATATGGATGGACTGGGTGCATCGAGGTGCCCATGGCACTGTGGCTGGTCGACTTCGGGGCCAGCCACTGGAAAACTATGCCTGGGGGGCCCTGCGCCAACGCGCGCGCGGCCGCGGAGATCGCGCGAATTGTCGCGGCCGCGCGGCGACCGCGAAAATCCCGCGGCGCGGAAAGCGAACGCCGCGAACGGCGGCGAAACTGCAAATCTGACGAGACAGAGCGAGAACGCACAAAGCCGCGCCCCAAACGATCGCGTCGACCATCGTGAGACAATGGCCCGCGACACCGCGTCGCGGCGCCGCCGCGGCGCTTCGCGGCGCCCTCGCGGCGCTGCACGGCGCTTTTATGGCGACATCCGTGTGGGATTTCTGAAGCTCGATCGCCCCTTTGTCGCTGAATGACTGAATCTGCGTCGAGCCCAACGAATTCGTTTACAAGGAGGCGCGAGGCGCATCAAAACACGAAGCGCTAGCCAGCGACAATCGGGGTTGGACAGACCCCCCTTTAGCAAAACGTGGTTTAGTGAAAACAACGTGAGGCCCAAACCTGGCGGGCGCACGCCTGGAAAATAACGGCCACGGCGCCCCCTCGAGAAACGAAAACGGACAATTCACTAATCGACGTGTCACTGTTGAATGTTCTGTCCACCTCCGAGACAAGCGAAACGCACGCCCAATGCTCGATGAAGACGTCTGCAAAATTGGGCAGAACGCGACCGGCGGGCGGTCGAATGGGCACATTGCGGCAACGCTGCTGGTTGGAGTCGTTGACCAGCCGCTGACGGGCGCTGCCACGTTGCCGCAGCGCCACTACCCACGGGCCGCCAGAGCCACTGCCTAGAATCTGCCCAGGAGCTCCCAGGGAGCAGCTCGCTAGCCGCATAGGCGTCTGCACGCGCTGCGCCCCGCGCAGAAAGGGCCCCCTCGAGAGAGACCCCCCAGCACCAGCAAGCTCACTGGGGTCGTCGCGGCGAGCGTGGAACGGCGACGGCGCGACGTTCGCCACCGCCGACACACGCGCCAGCGTCTAAAACAAGGAAGCGGGAAAAAAAACGTTTGCAACCCATGCGCAATACCGTCGTCGATGATTCCCGTATCGCTCGCTCCTCGCGGGATCTTGCTGGCGATCCGCCCGCGCGCGCGTCGCACGAAAAAGGGCGGGAAGCATCGCTCGAGCCGCTCGCGCGCCGCGCCTGGGAATGAAGCGACACAGCGCCACGCAAAACGCGCCCCGCATCGCGCGCGCAATTCGCGGGATCTCATCGGTGGAACGCCCTTGCGCGGCGCCGTGCATTGCCACGCAATACGTCACCTGCATCGCGCGCCCACTCCCCTGGATCTCGCGCAACCCACCAACGCTCGAGTCACATGAATACTCGGTGGGGCAATGAATTGTTGCACTCGCGATGTGGACCTCAACGCGAGGCGATACACTGCCGCGCAATACGTTTCTCGCATCACGCGCTCAACTCGCAAAAACATGTCAGGCGACCCGCCCTCCGATGGGCCATCCGAACAAATTGATGGCAAAAACAAAATGTCCACCCGCTTTCCTGGCACCAACTTGAGCGATACATTGCGCGACGCCCGTTTCCTACATCGCACGCTCGCAGAGGAAGATCTCACAAGTGAACCACCCGCGCGCGGGTCGCCCGAACAACCTGGCGGTCAAAACCAACTCTTTCCCTCGCATGTTGGGCAACAACATGACGTGGGACACGGGCTAGACCAGCCCGGGACTGGGCTACAGCTTTGCTGGACTGGGCTGGGACTCGGCTAGACTGGACAAGGCAGAACCCGACCGTGCTTGACTGGGCTAAGGCTGGGCTGGACTGGGATAGGCACGGCCTAACAAAGCCTGGCTAACCCGATAAAGAGAACTTGTTACGACTGGGACGCAGTCTGCTTGTTTAGGATGGACTTGGCTAGACAGGCTAGGAAACGGCTCTGCATTGCGCGGAGAAATAAACGGGGCGTCGCAAGGCCAACGCTGGGTTGGGGCCGCGCCAGACAACGGCAAGAGAGCCGCAAGAGGGTCCCAAGAGGCCTCCAGGAGGCCCCTAAGCGAGCCAAGTGGACCCAAAGACGGCCCAACAAGCTTCCAAGATGGCCTAAACGGCCAAGACGGCTCCAAGAGGATGCCCACGCGGGGGACCCGAACGGACATTCCGAGCTCCCAGGAGGCCCCAAGAGGCCGCCAAGAGGCCCCCACGAGGCCTCCAAGAAGCTTCCAGGCAACCCCAACAAGCCCTCAAGAGGCTCCCGAAAGGTTCCCTAGATGCCCCCCAGAGGCCCTCGAGAGCGCCCCGAAGAGACCCCAAGAAACATCCCTGAGGACTCTGATCCACGGCCGCGTCGTGATCGCCGCCGCCGTCGTCCTTCAAGATCGGCGGCACCAGTCGTAAGACCTTCGCAATCCACTTGTCCTCGGTAAAAAACCAGAATGGATCGAAATGGGATTCATGGAAATCCCCTCGTCGGCGGCATAACCCACAGAGCTGATTTCCGCGCGCGTTTTCTCTGAGTAATTATTGCTCTCTTAAACTTCGAAGCAACATACGGCAGGCTCGTGTCGTACCGACTGCGGCTTTGGTTTCTGAACGGTCGCCCGTTTCCAAAATGCCAGATCGTTCAACATGAACCGATTCTGGATCGCTGGCGGCGTGCAACGCTGAACGCCAGCGGCGAGGTCGCCGCTGGTCGACACGACGAGAAGCTGCCGCAGCATCGCGAAAGGATCGTGCCCTCAGGATCCCGCCCCCCCTCGGTCTCCCGACCATCTTACGTGGAAAGCTGGCAATTCCCATGGGCATACACCGCCTGGGTGGAAGGGCCCAACTCGGGAGCGACCTCGGCGTTGTAGCCGAGACCGTCCTCTGACCCTGCTGGCCGAAGCATGATCCAAGCGGATGAATAGGAGTAGCGTCGAAAATTAACTCCTGCGTACATAGAGGTCCTAAGAGCGCGTTTCTTTCTTTTCGGCGATGACGGGCGTCATGGGGGGGGGCGGGGGGGGGGTATGACGTCCCCCCGCCATGTTTCTCCGGCACCACAGCCGCGCCCGCGCGCACGACGACAATGAGCGACGAACGACGAGCGACGACGACGACGACGACGACGACGACAACGACGACAGCGACGACGATGACGACGACGACGACGACGACGACGATCACGCGAGCATCATGCACGTGGCAATCTGCCCCACAGCGCCTGTGTACACCACAATTCTCGCGTGCACCACAGCGCGCATGTACACCACAGCGCCCGCGTACACCACAACAGCCGTGTGCTACGCAGCGCCTGTGTACACCACAGCGCTCGCGTGCAATACAGCGCCGGTGTACACCACAGCGAATGTGTACACCACAACAACCATGTGCAACACAGCGCCTGTGTACACCACAGTGTTTCACCACAACGCCTGTGCACACTACGCCGCCTGCCGACACCACAGCATCCGCGTGCAAAGCAGCGCTGGTGTACACCACAGCGCCTGCGTGCACAGGACAGGTAGGAAGAGCACGTAAGTGAGGATATGATTTGCTGTGGAGAGCCAAACGCCACGCCAAAGAAGTGCTGATAATACGTTCTTCCCTCCTCCTCCTCCTCCTCCTCCTCCTCCTCCTCTTCCTCCTTCTCCTCCTCCTCCTCCTCCTCCCTCACCCTTCCCCCCTGTCGTGCGGGTTGGCGCTACTGCGCACGTGCGCATCTCAGCGTGCACCGCAGAATGGTCGATTGAATCATTCCAGTTGGTTTTCGGACGGCCCATTCAGCTGGAGCCTCCTGGACGCATATGGGAGGAGCTAGGATGATGCGGGCGGACTCGGGAGGACTCGTAGATTCCAGCGGCGCTCCTTTTCCCATAAAGATCCTTGTCCAAATCCTATATAAAACAATTGTTTTTCTGTGAAACCCACAGGCGCTGCATTTTGCCATAAGGATTCCCTCTAACACTCTATGTAGAACACGGGCGCTCTGTTGCACAAAGTTGCTCCGGTGCACAAAGGCGCCATGGTGTACACAGGCGCTGTAGTACACACAGGCATTGTGGTGTACACTGGTGCTGTGTTGCACACGGCTGATGTCGTGCACGCAGGCGCTGTAGTGTACACGAGCGCTGTGGTGCCCGCGGGCACTGTGGCACACACTGGCGCTGTGTTGCACGCGGCTGTTATGGTGTACATCGGCGGTGTGGTGTACTGTACACAGGCGCTGTGGTGCACGCAGGCACTGTGATGTACACAGGCCGTGTGGTGCAAATCACCACCTACATGCTGCTGCTACCCTTCCTCGGTCATTCCTTGGCACTCCCAAACCCCGCCGGCGCGAAACGTGACGTCATCGGCACCCTCCACCCCCTCCCAAACGATTGCCGTCATCAACCCAGAATATAAAACAGGCTGCAGCCGCGTCCGCGCGCACGACGACGATGAGCGACGAGCGACGAGCGACGACGACGACGACGACGACGACCACGACCACGACGACGACGCCTACGACGACGACGACGACGACGACTGCGGACCAGGCTCCTGCGGATTCCTGCGGACACCTATGCGAATCCCGATGCGCACGGCGGCAGTGCCTGGAGCGCACTGGGGGGGGGAACGTTACGTCATGGAGGGGGGGGCGGCGGGGGCCATGACGCCCGTCATGCCCCAAGCAGTAAAGAAACACGCTCCGACGATACACACACACACAAACAAACAAACAAACACACACTAGCCTAACAGCTACCCTAATGGGGGTCCCCTCGCATCCAGGAAAAAAGATCACTTGATGATACAGGTGTCCATGCTGTCTGCGAGGAAGGCGTTGACTCTCTCGGCGCATCTGTACACATCTTTATAGAAAGGGTGCTTCGAATTTTTCATGCGCCTGTTGAAATAAACGCCCTTGATATCTTCCACGAAGCCGGCCCGCACGTAGCGGCCAATCTCAGCCATGTACCCGAACTTGTCGGAACCAACGTCGAGCCACAACGGGTCCTCCAAAATGATGACGCCCACGGTATGGTCCACCGAATGCAGCACAGTCCCCGCGAACAACGCCTCTCCATCCATGCCGCCCATGGCCGCCCTGTGCTTCTCGAATATCTTCATGAATCCATGGCGCACCTTGATGACAAAATTGCAGATCGTAGAGTCCCTCTGAAGCTCCCGGACGTTAGCATGGAACGGAACGCCCGTCGTCAACCCGGCTTCAAAGACTTTGGATAGAGCCGTACAAGGGAAACTGATCACTCCAGCGAGGCACGCCAAGTGCGACAGGATAGGGAACACCGTGTATCCAAAGTAGTTGTACGCAACTGTGGTCACAGAGCTACACCTCAGAAAGGGATCATGGCTATGCACGTTCGTACCCCAATTTGCGAGGGCGTGTATTTTGACGTGGTTGACAATTATCGCGTGGAACCATACCAGCGTCATCGCCTCCTCTGCTGTCAGGTGCTGGCGATCAAACTCGGCGCTCACCATGGACTTCCGCTCCAAGTCAACCTTAATGTAGAGCGTCTTTGAATCATCAAAATCACCGCGGGCATCGAGGATCGGAAGATTTGGCCATATGAATGAGGCAATCCGAGGCTTGGAAGGGTTCTGTTCGTTGCTCGCGATGCCCAGGAAGTTTATGATTTCGGTCGTCTCGAGCAGCAAGCGCGCCACTACTGTTCGCGGGTCGCAAGGCTTCGGTTCCAACCATTTGCGTTTGTGCAGAGCCTGGCGAGCGATAAGCGAGATCGTCCCACAGACAGCGAAGCAAAGGGCGCACGTCCCAACGAAAACCTGGGCCCACAAGAAGTCAAAAAAACCGAGATAAATGTGATCCATGTCAAGCTTGGCAGCTCTGCGCTCGGTGTCCACTCTCATGACGGGACTGCCAGGAACGAGAGATCCTCTCGGTAGCCTTCGGACTGTCGCTGCCTTCGCCCCGCGGAGTGGCGACGTGCGCTGCCTGCTGATTAAAAGAGCTGCCGTGTGGCTGTTCCGCCGCTCGACAGCACTGGTCACTTTGGCCCATCTTTCCTCCGCCGTGACCTCCGGTGGTAAGCGGTGCGACGGGCACAAGTTGTGTGATCGATCCACTCTCTTGTCGAAAAACTTGCGCCAAATCTGCCAAATTATCGTGACGTAGACCACGACAATTAACGCAGCAATGGAGGACCCGATCATGATGATGGCGGGGCAGATCATGGCAACGCGCGCCTGGAGGCTGCCGACATGTAGAGACGGCACTTCGCCCTGGCAGATGTAAGCGCAGGCGGGTATCCGAAGATCGAGCCGAAGTGGCTTGAGCCAAAATGGCTACAGAACGTCCTCCGTGATGATCTTCGCGACGTGTGTGAGCACTGGAGGCGAGGCCCAGTAAGCGTTCAGCGGACTCTGCCTGGAGGAGTCTGGCCGATTGCAGGCAAGATGTCACGTTCGACACGGTCGCCGAAGCCGACGCCGAAGCAGACGCCGATGTCACTGCGCCCCCAAAAAAGAACACGAATCTCATCGTCGCCATTCCCCCATGGACTGGGCTCAAATAAATGTGCGGATCACGCTCGACGGGCGAGATGCTGCACAACCCCACATTGGGTATAGGCGAGCAGCACCTAAAGCGAAACTGTGTCTGCGGCAAACTCCTCCTCCTCCTCCTTCTCCTCCTCCTCCTCCTCCTCCTCCTCCTCCTCCATTCCTTTTCCCTATACATGACTTCCCCCTGTCGCACCCTGAGGCCAGTGTTTAGGGCGGGCCGGGCGTTTCGCCTGAGACTTCCTCACCATTTATGACCCTGAAACTTAAACATTGACAACGGCTCCACAGATGGAGGGCGGGTGGTTTTCAAAATGTGGCTCTCGCCTTAGCGCCGCGCGCATTCATTTTTAAAATGTGCAAGAGCTTCACGGATTGAGGGCAGAACGTTTTCAAAATGTGGTTCTCGCCTTAGCGCCGCGCGCATTCTTTCTTAAGCATTTGCAAGAGTTTCACGGGTTGAAGGCGGATGATTCTCAAAATGTGGCTCTCGCCTCAGCGCCGCGCACATTCGCCTTTAAAGTATTCAAGAACTTCAAGGATTGAGGGCGAGTCGTTTTCAAAACGTGCCTCTTGCCTGAGCGCCGCGCACATTTTTGTTAAACAAAATTGCAAGAGCTTCACGAATTGAGGGCGGGTCGTTTTCAAAATGTGGCTCTCGCCATAGCGCCGCGCACTTCTTTAAAAAATGCAAGAGCTTCACGGATTGAGGGTGGTGTCTTTTCAAAATGTGGCTCTCGCTCTAGCGCCGCGCACATTCATTCATACAGTAAGAATTCCACGGATGTCCATGGTCAACGTACCAGAAATGGTGTTTTGAAAAGATTCTGGATTATGCGGGTGCAACAGTTATGTTGATTCGCGGTGTTGAAATCCCAGACATGGCGTTCTGGCAGGGTTCCAGATCGTCAAGACGCAGCAGTCAGGTTGATCCGTTGCGTTGAAATCCCGACAACAATGTATTGGCATGCTTCAGGGTCTTCAAGGGTGTCTTCCAACGAGGCAGTTCCCTCAATGGAAATGAACCATTGTAGGGGCCTGTGACGAGGGAGCTTGGAGGGAGGATTCATTCCAACATCGTCGATCACTCTCTGGTTTACACTGGTCCTCCTCCTCCATCTTATTCATGATTTGGCTTTCGGATTTTCCCTCGTCGCCACGGATGGACGCAGCTCGAAGCATTAGCCAAGATGAAACCGAGGCCCCAAGCCGCCGCAAACGATGAGACCCACAAAGGATTCCGACGCTTTCTCCCTATGCATTTAAGCTTCATATCGCCTCGGGGAAGCCACAGAGAGCCCCTAAAAAGCTCCGAATGACTGCCCCAAGACGGTTCCCAAGCGGCACCAAGACTCCCCGAGGCGGGGCGGAACTGTCGCAGAATGCCCCTGCACCCAAAAGGCGGCACCTTCATGGAGCACCCCGCACGAGGGCCATCCGTCACCCTGGACCTGCGAGCCAGGCAGGACGTGGCCGAGGACAATGAAGGGGCCCTGGGACACACAAGTAAATACACACAAATACAGATATTCCCCATATTTTCCCATATTTTCTGGGGAATCGACGATTAATTGTGTCTGTGTGTTTTTTCCTCTCCTGAGACAAGCAGGGGTGTCTGTGACCCACGCCAGTCCAGACAGGGCACTGAATTGACGCGGATCTTGCAACCAACCCCCCCCTGCTGCGCCGCTGTGTTGGCGTGCCGCAGGCGGCCGGACCCTCTTTGGGAAAGCCTCGGAAGGATCCCGATCCGGCTGGACGAGACCGTCGAGGTGCACGCGCAGGGGCGGCATGCCATGTGTGAGGCTTGACTGGACGACGCTCGCCACATCAGCTTGCGAGCCCGGCAACCGCGCGCGGCCCACGAACGGCCTCCTCTGCACCTCCGAGGCTCCCGGCCTGCTCCGCACCCTTCCCCCCGAAGGGCCGCGAGCCCCCGGGCAGCCGCAGCGCGGCAGACCGCAGACGGGCGAGGGCAAGGAACGCGCCCCGCGACGAGGGGGCCCGATCAAGCTGCGAGCGTCCCGCGAGCGACCAGCCCCAAGCCAAGAGAGGCCGCGGCTCGCCGCATGCTCTCGCCCGTGCCCTCGGCAACGGACCCCGCTCGGCTCCGACGCCGCGGTACGTTCACGCCCGCACCCTGGACCACACTCTCGCCGCGGGGTCGCTGTCTGACTGCCCAGGGGGCTCCCCAGGGGCCCACTCGGGCAAGACGCCCATCGTGCTTTTCTGTCGCGACGCCTGGTAGGTCTGGCCTACTTGGTACTGCCCCTCGGTCTGTTCTCGACGGTCCTGAATCCCACTGCCAGGACACCCCTAGGTCGAGAAACTGCGAAAATGATTCGCCATTGTTTTTCCAGGGCGCTGGATATCTGCAGCGGCACTACTACAAATACTAAATCCTGAGGGGGAGGGTGGGAGAGGGAAAAGGCCCCCTCCCCCCTGTCGTTGGCCCCTGGCTTTCGGGTCAGAACTCGGCTCTCTGGCGGCCGTTCGGGATGTTCCTGGCAACCCCGGAGCGTTCTCGGCGAACTGCTGGACCCAAGGAGAGGGCCAAATCACAGTGCAACGAAGGCCAGGAACCACTTCAGGTCGCACAAGCTGAGTATCGTTCAACCGATCCCCGTCCCCAGCGGCGTGGCCTGGGCCCCACTGGCCGACTTACCCCCTGGATAAGGATGTAGAACGTTCCCCAATCAGTGCTTGCACTGAAGGGGTCCTCGCGGAAAATGAAGGATTTGGCGAAAGTTTCCGCCGATTTTGGTCGCACGCTGGGTTCCTGGGTTCCCGGTTCCGGGTTCCCGGGTTCCCGGTTCTGGGTCCTGGGCCGATTTCGGAGGGCGGCGAGGTTCCCAGGTTCCAGGGTTCCTGGTCGATCTTCTTATCGATTGTTCTCACCATCGATCTCATTACCCACTTCTCTATCGATCTCACCATCGATCTTACAATCGATCTTACAATCGATCTCACAGCGATCTCACTAGAAATCGCATGAGCGATCTCGCGATCGATCTCACTATCGATCTCATTGAATCGGTTTCACTCTCGGTCTCACGATCGACCTTACAATCGTCCTCACTATCGATTCCACTATCGATCTCATCATCGATCTCACAATCGATCTCAAGATCCATAGTATGAATTTTCAAATCATCCACTGATTGGGATTTTCTCAGGCTCATTCTATTCGGGTTTCGAGGGGTGTATCCCCAACTGTGGTGGTAATTTGGTGGGGGTCTCGAAGGGGATGGGGATCGGTCAAACGATACCGACAAGCAAGGCCTCAAGTTCGATGACTTTGCCTTCATTGCTGAAAAGCTTTCGAGCCACCTCCAGCCGTCCTTCGGACGCATGCCGGAGATGCAGCCACGGGCGTTTGGGGGGCCGTTTCTGGGGGCTCGAATGATCATATTGGGCATCTCTCGGGGCCGTTTTGGGGGCCGGTCTGCGGGAATCTGGGGCCGACTTCCGGCCCTCCTGGGCCGTGCCGAGGCCGTCTTGGGCCTATCTTGTGCCAGCTTGGAGACGTCTTGGGCGGTCGGAAGCCAGGAAGAGCGAAAACACAACAATCCTTCATACAACTCAAGGACATCAATGTGTTTGGCCTCACCAAGGCCTCTTTGGGGCGCGCTGGGGGCTCTCCTGGGGTGTTGGGGACCTCTTGAGCCGTGCTGCGCCCGTCCTGAGCGCTCTTGGTGCTCATTTTGGTTACTCCTTGGCGGTCTTAGGGGTATCTTAGGCTGTCTTGGAGGCCTCTTGGGCCATCTGGGGGCCTCTTGGAGGCCCCGGGGAAGAGGTATCAGAAAAGGGAGAGAGATGGGGAGCGAGGAGAGGTCCGAAGTTGTTTTGTGTGCGGGGGCTCTCGGCTCTCGTCGTCGCCGCGGCTGGACACATCTCGAAGCAACATTCTTCCCGAGGTGGGGCAGGACGAAGACGGGGAGGGAGATGAGGAGGCAGCAGCATCAATGGCAGTTGGAGCAACAGTTGGGCATCATCACAGCCATCTTTTCGGCGTCTCGGGGATCTTTTTTTTTTTGGGGGGGGGGGGGAACGATGGTCGACGAGCTGACTGTCAGCGAGCAAGATCATATTGCTGCTGGCTTGTCTTTAGGGAGCAAGATCAGCTGAACAGCTCCAGGCAGATATGGAAATAGCCCGAGCCACCGCACGACACGCGCGACCAGACAGGCAACATACGTACTCGTGCAGAGGTCGGGATCCCCCGACACCGGCGCGCGGCGCACCCCTTGGTGCGGCGGCATACCGTGCGGTGACTTCGAAGCTCCCCCAAGACCTCACCGCAGAGCACCAGCCACGGCCACGGCCCCCGCCCCCCGCCAGGACCCCACCCCCTCCACCTCCTCATCCTCCTCATGCGAAAAGGAGATCCGGCATTCCAAAAAGGACTCGGCTGGGCAAGAGCGGCTCCGCCCGAGGGCCCCGCACCACCGAAGTGCCTCGGCGGCCTTCTGCGCCGCGGCACTGCCTCACTGCAACACCGCAGTCACGCCCAACAGCAAGGGCACGAGTGTAGGACTGTAAGCCCAAGCACCTGACCAGCCGACATAGACGCAACCGAAAAACTGCAAGCTCGGATCGTCGCAGTAGTCACAGCAGTAGTTCCCGTACACAACCTGGTATCCTGATCCGCACGAAGGAAACTCTGTGGATACGTTAAACGCGCAGTCCCCATCATCATCGGTACACTGACCGCAGTCAAGTCCTTCAGGGTCGGTCGGCGGATTTTCGTCGCAGTCGCCTCCGTCATAATTGCACTCCCAATTGTTGCACACGCTGTCGCAGTAGCCGTCGCCTGGCCACCCGTTGTAGCAGCCGTCCGCGCAGAGCTCCTTGTCGGTCGTTGTCCACCACTCGGGCTCAGGCTCTGGTTCTGGCTCTGGCGTGGCGTCGCAGTCGCCTCCGTCATAGTTGCACTCCCAATTGTTGCACACGCTGTCGCAGTAGCCGTCGCCCGGCCACCCGTTGTAGCAGCCGTCCGCGCAGAGCTCCTTGTCGGTCGTTGTCGTGGCCTCCGAAGAGCATGCTTCGCAACACAATCCCCCGAATACTTTAGAAATCATATCACACAAGCCCCAGCCAGCCACTTCGCTGCAATCGTCATGCCCTAGATCTCATGTCGCGAGTACGTCGTTATAGTCGTTGCACTCCGTCATAGCTGCAGCACACGTTTGGCAGCAGACGCCTCGCACCTCTTCGCTGAGGAAGCACATGCCAGCAACTTCCCCGCAACCAGTGACCCCGGAAGCATTGCCCTGTTGGGCTAAAAAAACGATGGCGGCATCGTCATCTTCGCACACGTCTGGGGTCGTTGTCCACCACTCGCGCTCAGGCTCTGGCTCTGGCTCTGGCGTGGCGTCGCAGTCGCCTCCGTCATAATTGCACTCCCAATTGTTGCACACGCTGTCGCAGTAGCCGTCGCCCGGCCACCCGTTGTAGCAGCCGTCCGCGCAGAGCTCCTTGTCGGTCGTTGTCCACCACTCGGGCTCAGGCTCTGGCTCTGGCTCTGGCGTGGCGTCGCAGTCGCCTCCGTCATAGTTGCACTCCCAATTGTTGCACACGCTGTCGCAGTAGCCGTCGCCCGGCCACCCGTTGTAGCAGCCGTCCGCGCAGAGCTCCTTGTCGGTCGTTGTCGTGGCCTCCGAAGAGCATGCTTCGCAACACAATCCCCCGAATACTTTAGAAATCATATCACACAAGCCCCAGCCAGCCACTTCGCTGCAATCGTCATGCCCTAGATCTAATGTCGCGAGTACGTCGTTATAGTCGTTGCACTCCGTCATAGCTGCAGCACACGTTTGGCAGCAGACGCCTCGCACCTCTTCGCTGAGGAAGCACATGCCAGCAACTTCCCCGCAACCAGTGACCCCGGAAACATTGCCCTGTTGGGCTAAAAAAACGATGGCGGCATCGTCATCTTCGCACACGTCTGGGGTCGTTGTCCACCACTCGGGCTCAGGCTCTGGCTCTGGCTCTGGCGTGGCGTCGCAGTCGCCTCCGTCATAATTGCACTCCCAATTGTTGCACACGCTGTCGCAGTAGCCGTCGCCCGGCCACCCGTTGTAGCAGCCGTCCGCGCAGAGCTCCTTGTCGGTCGTTGTCCACCACTCGGGCTCAGGCTCTGGCTCTGGCTCTGGCGTGGCGTCGCAGTCGCCTCCGTCATAATTGCACTCCCAATTGTTGCACACGCTGTCGCAGTAGCCGTCGCCCGGCCACCCGTTGTAGCAGCCGTCCGCGCAGAGCTCCTTGTCGGTCGTTGTCGTGGCCTCCGAAGAGCATGCTTCGCAACACAATCCCCCGAATACTTTAGAAATCATATCACACAAGCCCCAGCCAGCCACTTCGCTGCAATCGTCATGCCCTAGATCTAATGTCGCGAGTACGTCGTTATAGTCGTTGCACTCCGTCATAGCTGCAGCACATGTTTGGCAGCAGACGCCTTGCACCTCTTCGCTGAGGAAGCACATGCCAGCAACATCCCCGCAACCAGTGACCCCGGAAACATTGCCCTGTTGGGCTAAAAAAACGATGGCGGCATCGTCATCTTCGCACAGGTCTCGCTCCTGTTCGGTCTTTGTCCACCACGAACTGAGGGCTCGCTCATCACGAACTACCTGGTAGTCACACTCGCCCAAGTAAGCTGGTTCAATATTCGCACAGCTGGCTTGACAGGTGCTGTCATACGTCTGGCCGTCTTCACCACATACGGGGTCTGAGTAGGGACAGTTGCAACTTTCGGCTCCAGACATCAGAACCCGTCCTGCATGTGCCACAGGCAGCGCTTGGACCCTGCGGAACAACTCGCCACTCTTGCCTCGGGGGACATCCACGTGCACCCGCAAGCACGTCATGGCCCTGCCCGCGGAATCGACGGCCCTGATCTTCAGCCGGTAGCCGCCGGCCACCACCATGGGGGGGAGCGTGTCGAGGGCGAGGCGCAGCTCCGTGCGCCCGGGCGGCAGGGGGCACCCGCGCCGGCTGTGGCTTCTGCCGAGGTGCCTGCACAGGTCCTCCTCGTACGCGTGAGGGACGCTGTGCCATGCGAGTTCACGCTTCACCCAGTCTCCTGTCGACGAGCCTTCGGCAGCCGAGCCCTTGTACAGCTTGACGTGGAGGGTCCCCCCTGACACGTTGCTCGAGAGGTCCCCGTAGGCGCGCACCTGGAGGTGGGCCCGGTCGAACTCCGCGCGAGTGGTAGACATCAAGTCACTCTTACCGCCACAGTCCTCAATCTGCACACCAGCGCCACGGTCGAGTATCTCTGCAACGGTGGTCACATCGCTTCTCTCCTTCCCCTCACCTGCCATCTCGTCGAGGTATCCCCAAAACTTGTCCTTGACTGTGGCATCGGCCATAGTGAAGACGCAAAGGACGGCGACGACTGAGCGGGCAGCCGCCGACGCTATCGACGTCATGACACCGTGCTGGAAGTGAAACCTGTCAAACTTCGAAAGAGTGGGTGCTGAAGAAGACGTGTCTTGCCACGCAAACTGGCTTGAGCCAAAATGGCTACGGAGGCGTCTCGGGGATCTTTTTGGGCCGTCTTGAGCTCACACCACCGCTCGCACTTAGAATCCTTGGTGTTTGGAACTCGTTACGTCATGAAATACAAGAACCGGACGAAAGGCTATGCATTTTGCGTATCTGGGCCTTCTTGCGCGTCCTCTTGGGGCCTTTTTGGGCCACTTCACGCCCTCTCGGGTCGTCCTGGGACCCATTTGGGGTGTCTTGGGGGGCTTTGACTGCCTTGGGACCGAATTTGGGCCCCCCTATGGTTCTCGGGGCCCTCTCGAATCTCTCGTGAAGCCATTTGGGACCTTCTGGGCCTTCTTGGGACTGTCTTGGAGCGGCCCTTGGCCGTCTTGGAACTCTCTTGGGCCGTCCTGGGGCCCTCTTTGGGAGCCGCTTGGGCCGTTTTGGGCTGATTTCTGGGGCCTCGTGGGCCGTCTTGGCCCGTCGGACGCGCGAAAAAGCCAGAGCACGGGAAACCTTCGAACAAAAACCTTTAGGAAATTGGATTGCTCGCCTCCTGTGGGCCTCGTGAATCTATTTTTTAACAACAAAAAAACTCTTGGCCATCTTGAGGCCCCTTTGTGCTGTCTGGGAAACACGTTGGGTCATCTTGGAACGCGTTTGGGCAGTTGTGGGCTCTCTTGGAGCGCTCTTGGGCCATTTCGTCGCCCCTCTTTGGCGCTCCCCGACGGGTCCGAAACAGCCGTGTACAAAACCTGTGCTCCCCTTTGCTCCTGGGACGCCCTCCCCATTCTTTTATGTGTATACATCGAGAAAGAGGGGGGAACGCGCTACGCGCGCGCTTAGATTCTAGCCAATTCCGAAGACCTCATCCTCATCCCCCTGCGCACGAAGTATTCCTCATCCACTCTCATGGCGGGCAGGCGCAATCGCGGCGTCGACGTCGTCGTGGGCGTCGTCGTCGCCGTCGCCATCGCGGTCGCGGTAGGGGAAAGGGGAAGAAGGGAGATAAGGAGAGGGGACGGAGGGAGGCAGGTAGGGAAGAACAGAAACAAACAGGCATGAGAGGCAAAAAGTGAGAGGACGGGAAATGAATGGATCAACGGATAAGTGACCCTCTGCCCCTGAGATTTTCTAGGTTGGGACATATTAAAGTTCGGGCCCAGGGAAGACGATAAACTGTTCCCTGGCAGGTCGCAGCATAAAGGACGTTGAGTAGGATGCCGAGTATGTTGCTGATGATGATGATGATGATGATGATGATGATGATGTTGATGATGTTGATGCTGACAAGCTAAGGCCACAACGGTCTGGGAGCGGTGCTCGGCGCAACCGTTATAAATTATCGCGCGCACCCGCGGGGCCCTCGGGCACCGCCGAAGAGGATGGGAAGGGAAGGGCGCACCGTCGCGCCACTCAGCGGCCCGGGCCCCCCGCCTCCGAGCCGCGCCCACGAGAACGGCTGCGCGGGCGCCTCAGCGGCACGGCGCGGCCGCCCCCCAGCGCGGGACCCGCTCCTCCCCGCGCGGGGCGCCGCCCCAGCCGCATCTTCCTCAGCGCGGCGGCCTGGCGGGCGCTGGCCCCGCCCGCGCGCGGACTGCTGAGCGCGACCGCACGGGCGCCGTCCGCGTAGCAGCCGCAGACCGCGCAGTAGACGAGGCGGTGGGGCCCTTCGCCGATCGCCCAGAGGCGGCGCGGCGACTCGTCGAAGCTCACGTGCCACCAGCGTGGGAGCGCCTCCTCAGCCACGGCGCCAGCCGCCCCGCTGCTCCCCCCCGCGTCGCCGTCGCCGTGCTGGGCCCCACCAGCGGGCCTGGGCCGCCAGCGCCGCTGCCGCCACCGCCGCTGCGGCGGCGACGCCCGCGCCCTCGGCGCCTCGACGGCTCGCGCTCGCGGAAGCCCGCGCGCGGCCGCGCCGCGGGTCGGCGCCCTGGCCAAAGGCCCGGCGCTTCCGCCCAGCCGCCCGGGGCCCAGGCGGCCCGCCAGCGGCGCCCCCCGCCGCGGCAGCCGCGCGCCCGGCCCATCCGAGCGGCCCGCGCAGGCGTCGCAAAGCCAGCGCGCCGCTCGCGCCCAAGACAGCCGCGCCGCGCGCGCCGCAGGGTCAGCGCCTGCAGACTGGCCCGCCATCGCCGCGGCGCGCGGCGCCCCGCCGCCCGCAGCTGCGCCCGCGGCAGGTGGAACCGCCGCGCCCGCGCCCACGCCGCCAGCCGCCGCGAGGGCGGCGCCCCCCAGCTGCAGCGCCTCGCTGAGCCAGCGGGCCGTCGCCACTGCGATCGCATCGGCCAGCCCGACGCGCTCCATCGCCGCCTCGCACATGGCGGAGCTCCGCGCCCTTCTTGACGAAGCCGTCCGCGGCGCGGTTGCCCTCGCAGTCGCCCATCCTGGCGTGGCCGTCGAGGACGGAGCGGAGCGTGGCGCGCCCCTTTCACCTCGGTGACCCGCGCGCACTGCTGGCCGCCGAAACTGCCAACGGCCCACCAGAAACCGCGCCGCACCTCAATGGGCGGGCGGCCCAATGCACAGCACCAGGCCACGCCCGCGGCAAAGCCCGTCGCGAGCAGCTTGCAGCCCGCCCTGATCGAGGACGCCGCCCGCGCCTGGCAGGCCCCAGCGCAGGGCGCGGGCGGCGGCCAAGATCTCGCCTGCGCTCGCGCCCTGCGGCAAGCGAGCGGGGACGCACCCCCAGGCGCCGCGCGCCGCACCGCGGACCCGCAGCGCCGCGAGCCCCCAGCCAGCGCGCACCTCGGGCGACCCCGCCCTGCCACACATTGCCGAGCCGTCGGCGCACAGGACGCTGGCGCCCGCCAAGGCCGCGTAGCCGCGGCTGCTGCTCCACCGCGCCTCCTCGGTCTCCAGCGGCGGCGGGAGGGCGGCCGTCTGGTCTGGGATAAGTGCTCTCGAGTAGCGGGGGCCTCGCTGTCGATAGCCTCGGCCACGTCGGCGAAGACCTGCGGCGCCTCGCCCCCCGCGATGGCGCCGCGCCTCTCCGCCGCGAGGGCGGGGCGCCGCCAGGCGAGATGCCGCGCCACGCCGCGGCCGCCGCATCCCACGGGGCAGGCCCCCGAGCGGCACAGCGGCGGGCCGAGGGCGGCTCGGCGGGCCACTGGCCAGAGCCCGCCGAGAGCCGCGTCGCGGGCGATGGGCCACCGCGCCCGCCGCTCGGGGGTTGCCTCGGCGCCGAGCAGCCGCCGTCGGAGGCCGCAGGTGGCTGTGCCGCTGGCCGCGCGCTCGAGGTCCGCGTCACGGGCCGCGGCCTCGCGCCAAAGCCACCGCTGGTGCGAGTCGCGCATGCGCCTGCGGAGCGCGCGGCCGCCGATCTCCTCGAGCTTCAGCGTCGCGCCGTTGTCCCTGGCCCAGCGGCGCATCGCCGTGGAACTCCAATCCACCCGCCCAAGCGCGAGCAGCGCCGCTGCCGCTGGACCGCGCCCCGCCAGCGCGCCAGGACCCTGCTCGAGGCGGACCTGCACGGCGCGCCGCCACGCCCACAGCACGTCGCAGGTCGCGTCGAAGCGGTTCCGCGCGAGCCCGCGGCCCCAGGCCAGGAGCGCCCGCCCGGCCTGCGAGCGCCAGGGGTCGCGCCTGGGCACAGCGGCCACTGCGCACCCCACCTGCAGCGAGCGGCCCCGCGCGCTGCCGAAGGCGAGGAACCCGACCGCCGATTGCCACTGCTCGAGCTCGCTCGCGGACCGGGCCTGGGCGCAGCAGCCGCCAGCCGTCGTCGGGAGGAGGCCGCCCACGAGCAGGCGCATGGCCGCGCTGATGGACTGGCGTCGCGCGCCCCCCACCCGCCTGAGCTGCCCGCGGGCCCCGGCGCGCCGCCCCCTCGCCACCCCCGCCGCGGCCGAGCCGTCCAGGCAGAAGTCCACGCCCAGGTTCTTTGTGACATTCGTTTGCTTGGCGCTCAGGGCGCCGCACCCAACATATTCCTCCCCTCCTCCCGTGGCGCCTCGGGGGGAGGCCAGGGCCCTCACCTCCCCGTGGCCCCCCGAGGCGCCACATCGCGGGGGAGGCAGAGGAGGAGTCGGGAGGCCAGGACGGGGAGGGTCACGGCGGTGCGGCTGTCGTGGAGTGCGCGGAGGTCCCGCAGCAGGAGTTGGCGTCGGATTTCCCGATCCCGCCCCTCGTGAGGGCGCAGAACGCGGAGGTTTTCATCAAGACGGAGCAGGTGGCAGCTGCTCGGAGGTTGGCCTCGGACGTGGTCACGGCCACAGCCGTCAAGAAGGGCCAGTTCGAGCCTGGTGAGCGGGATCATCGTGGAGGTGAACTGGTCCATCGAGGAGGCGAGCTGGGCCATCGTGCAGGTGAGCTGGGTCTTCACGGCGATGAGCTGGATCATCGTGGAGGCGAGCTGGCCCAATGTGGAGGCGAGCTGGCTCATCGTGCAGGTGAGCGGGGTCATCACGCTGGTGAGCTGGATCCTCGTGGAGGACTGGTCCGACGTGGAGGCGAGCTGGGACATCGTGCAGATGATCGTGGAGGTGAGATGGTCCAACGTGGAGGTGAACTGGAGCAGATGGGCGACAACAGAGTGCGAAGCGCGCTCGAAATTTTGGCAGACCTCTTGGATACGATCGCGGACACCAGCAACGATCAAGAGTTCGTGGGCAAGTTGACGGTGGAGGTCACTTCCTGGGTCAAGACGTGCGCGAAGCTCGGCGTCGACCTCGGAGACCTCAAGGAGAAGTTCGAGGGCCTGGACGTGGTGCAGTACTCGGCTTCTTCAGGCGGTGGGGGCCCGCAATTCCCCTAGCATCGGCGGCTTCGCTGTGCTGTCGCTCTACCTGAGACGGCGGGGGTCCGTGGTTCCCCCAAGAACGCGCCCAGCTTGGAGAGCTGAGCAGGCAGCTTGCTGCGCGGAGGCCCGTGCCCTCCTGCAAGCAGG